CATTTGTTACCTGCACTATAAGCTCGGTAACCTATAGCGTAACTTCTGAGCCGGAGTAGCCTTTAACATAAAGGTTGCAACGGCAGTCGTTTTGATGTTTGATTTTCGTCTAGACTGTAGGCTACAAGGCCCACATTTAAAGTCAAGAAGTCGATATATAAGTTACTTCAATGGCAGCCGACGTGTAACCTCTATGCAGTAATGTATAAAAGGCACGGTAACCTACATAGTTTTCACTGCAACCCTTGCGCATATTAGAAATAAATTCCCGAGTGTTCATCTGGTCCAGGGTATTAACATTTTATCAGGTTTCAGGATTACAACGTTTAAACACGTTTGCCGGTCGCAGCGATGCACCAGACATCTACACCGACAAAGCTGCCATGGATATTCCAGAACATTATGCGAACTGTGCAAATCGTCAATCATATGCAAATAAAATTGATTTATTCGAAGAGTTGGAAAAGTCGTATTATGTTTATGGAGGTACCTTTGCGGGCTATTAATACATAAAATTATTTATTCGAATTTAAAATTTGAGGTGGCGAGCAGTTCCAAGCGCTTAATAAAGACTTGAAAATGTAAACATTACCTGTTACGCTCTTTAATTTAGGAGTTTTTCGCGCAACACCAGTGGAGGATATATCGCGCCAAAGCAGTGATTAGACGGAAACACAGTGATTGACTTCTTTCTCTCTCTCTTCTACTTTTGGTTGTTTCGAGTTTTTTTTCACACCCCGTCTCAGTCGTTTTAACATAATGGCAGTGATTACAGGTAAAAGTTGGGATGCAGACTGCCGCATATGTGAAAGGTTAAACATGGTGATGACATTATCACTTTCCGAGGAACGGTTGAAATCAAATATTTGTAAAAAAAAAAAAAAAAACGCTAAAAATTAAGTTCCACAATCGGTCAAGTTCACTCACCGACACATTTAATATGTTCTGCTCCACATGTTTTAAGCATGCACTCTGCCACTATACACTCTATCTTTCCTAAATGAGACGTGAAACAATCAAAGCACACCTATTAAGGAAAATGAACCCTGGTAATATTAGCTCCTGCCTAATAAAAAGCTGAAGTTCAACGTTATCAAGTTTTGTTCTGCAATATTCCCAACATCTCAATACGTCAAGAATTCTTATTTCACATAAAGTTTATATTTCTAATCAGCCATCTTATGTCTCGTGGCTTTTGCTGAATGTGTATGCCTCAGGGTAAAAACAAATCGCGTTCTTTTGAATTAACAAATTTGGTTTATTTATTTTAAATCTGAATAATTTGATTTAGACCACCGTAGCTTGAAAAAGTTGTTATTTATCGCAAGATATATTTTTCAAACTAGGCAGATTAATTAAGTAGTCCGTCTCATGACAGATAATGCGGAAGAAAGAATTCCTGTAAATTTAAAGTAGCTTAATTAGCAACATTTCATTGACGTAAACCTGGCAAAAAGAGCGTCATATTCTATTAGTTAGCTAAATATATCTATCATCTTTCTCTTTCGTGTTCTAAATACTCTTTCAATAGTACATCAATTATCTTGTTCTTTTTCTTCTTCTTTCACGTTCTGAATAGCTGTACGTAACTGACAAATGACGTGGAGGGCAGGAAGTAAGCTCAACGCTGCGATTGCTCTGAAGAGCACTGCGTTTTTTCGTTTTCCGCCTATTAATAATATGTCTTTGTTGATAAATCTTTGAAATAAATATAAACAAATACACGTAGAAAATAAGACTCAAATGATAGATAAACGGGAAGTAAAAAAATATCTTTGGGTCTTTTTTTTTTGCGGGAAAGTTGTGATTTAATAACTTTCCCGATCATTGAAGTAATCCTAGTAAAACTGGTCTGATTTAAATGACGATTCGAACCACGATTTAAATCCTTTTGATCTTTCTTGTCTTCCCTTGACTATACTTGCCCGAGTTTTCGCTTTGGCTATCAATTCTGTTTTTATACATGTGTACTTCCTCTCAGGCGACCTCTATATCTCACAAAGTTGCAGGCCACCATCTGCGCGCACACTGACGCCTTTGTCCTCTTCTGAACAGAACCTTTTCTACTCCAAACTCTAGAGCACCGTAGACCTCGATACGGCTAGTGGTCGTGGAGTTCGAAACTTCTCCTTCCGTCACAGTGACTAACGAACGTCACACCGAAGTTCGTGCAAAGTTGACATCAGCGACATTAATTTAGAGCAGTCACTTTGGTGATTATATCATCACCGAAGGAAATAGGAAATAAAAACAGCTTGTTCTCTATGTCATCTCGTGATGATGGTGTTATTCTTGAACGTTACGGTAAATAAATTGTTGTTATGCAGCTATTTGTTCGACGCTGCTATTGGGTCAGCATATGCACCTACCGCATTAACGTTTCAATGTACGTTAGGGCACCACTCGTGTTTCGAAGCAACTCCAAGACCACAAAATATGTCGCGGATGGCTCTAGCATGAAGCCAACCATGGGAAGGGGGAGGGAGGGCGAATTTTTACCTCCCAATGTGATCACAAATGTGGCAGAAGATGACATGGGCATGTTAAACGAAATTGCGGCGGCACCGCGATAATTTTGAACCTAAATATTGTTTTCTATATACACTATTGGGTATTTCATCGTGGTGGTTACCAGCACATGTTTGACGTGTTTATGTGATGTTACGTTAAACACAACTTAAACACAACTCTGTAAAATTGTTTGGAGTGAGTCATGTCATTTTACTAGCCTAAACAACGTCCGTAGTTTGATGCTAATGGAATCTTATTAAATGTAGTTTTTAACTGTTAAGGCAGTGGTAAAGCTAAGTTAGGGTGCATATCAGCAGAACCACGAGGAAAGATAGCGCTGACTGTTGCTGAAGGTTCCTTAACCAACTGTGTTTAAACACGGTTGGTTAGAGTACCTGCAGCTTCTTTTATTAATACTCACCTAACGAGGTAGATTTTCGCCGAAATGGTTACTTTTCAATGGTTATATATTGTTCGAACAAACCAGTGAATAAATTAGAAGTCATGCCACTACACCTATGATAAAAATATTATGGTGAATCAATTCCGATCGAGCTCTCATGTGAAGTTTCATTCGCTTCAGTCTCGTATTCTCGCTTTGTAAAGAGCATGTGATCTGACTTGTTTCAGCTTGAGAGGTGTTAAGTCATGCCCGTCATAATGCCGCAATGCTCTTTTACAAATCCACGAACAAAAGAGGAAAATAGACCTAGAGTGAGAAAACGGTATCCGGAGATGCTCTAAATGCCTGTTGAGTTGTTAGTTCGATAAAGTGACTCGGGGCTTTCATGTAACGCACCCACCGGCAACAGTATTAGTGAACCCTACGACGTAATGTAACAAGTTTATCTCTTTTTATAATTATAATGCAATTAAATGCAAAGGTGCAAGCGAGCTGGACAAGAATGACGAAAGTAATCCCTGGAGAAGGGGAACAAGAGGGACAAAGGACAAACATAAATCTCCAAACACAGCTAGGTGACTGGTGAGCGACCGAAAAAATCCGCCTGGTCCGGGTATCGAACCCGGGACCTCTCCATTACCAGTGGAGCGCTCTACCAACTGAGCTAACCAGGGGTGAGACGTCAGTGGAGCAAACGGGTTTTATCAGCTGCCACCAGTCGAACACCAACAAGGGTGAAGCTTGCAATTTAAGGTTATAATTATAATGCAATTAAATGCAAAGGTGCAAGCGAGCTGGACAAGAATGACGAAAGTCATTCTTGTCCAGCTCGTCCATTCGATACCCGGACCAGGCGGATTTTTTCGGTCGCTCACCAGTCACCTAGCTGTGTTTGGAGATTTATGTTTGTCCTTTGTCCCTCTTGTTCCCCTTCTCCAGGGATTACTTTCGTCATTCTTGTCCAGCTCGCTTGCACCTTTGCATTTAATTGCATTATAATTATAACCTTAAATTGCAAGCTTCACCCTTGTTGGTGTTCGACTGGTGGCAGCTGATAAAACCCGTTTGCTCTACTGACGTCTAACCCCTGGTTAGCTCAGTTGGTAGAGCGCTCCACTGGTAATGGAGAGGTCCCGGGTTCGATACCCGGACCAGGCGGATTTTTTCGGTCGCTCACCAGTCACCTAGCTGTGTTTGGAGATTTATGTTTGTCCTTTGTCCCTCTTGTTCCCCTTCTCCAGGGATTACTTTCGTCATTCTTGTCCAGCTCGCTTGCACCTTTGTATTTAATTGCATTATAATTATAACCTTAAATTGCAAGCTTCACCCTTGTTGGTGTTCGACTGGTGGCAGCTGATAAAACCCGTTTGCTCTACTGACGTCTAACCCCTGGTTAGCTCAGTTGGTAGAGCGCTCCACTGGTAATGGAGAGGTCCCGGGTTCGATACCCGGACCAGGCGGATTTTTTCGGTCGCTCACCAGTCACCTAGCTGTGTTTGGAGATTTATGTTTGTCCTTTGTCCCTCTTGTTCCCCTTCTCCAGGGATTACTTTCGTCAAGTTTATCTCTACTGTATTTCTATATTTCTGCTTAATTTTCCTTGCAAAACGTCACTATATATACGAATAAAATTATCATTTATTTGTTTTTAATATCACGGTGTATTTCCTTTATCTCCTTTGTGTCATTTTTAAACAAACACCCGCAGACGAAGAAACAAGCGAGAGAGGGACATACACAAAGTAGGACAGAAAAATATCGGTGTTCAACACTTTCCACATGTAGCCTAGATTTGTTTTTCTTGCATACGGTGGCTCATGGGAATAGAAACTACGGTTCTCGACTTTTCCCGATCTTTTTCCCGGCTATTCGCAACCCTGAACTCCGTGATGTTTCGTGGTGGTGCAGATGTTCAAAAGCCGAGCCCGTTCTCCCAGTGATGCAGAAATGGCAGGCTGCGCTTGCGGCGAAGTATAGAGGATGAGGCAGTCGGGTATTGATGGAAGCGGCGACACAGTGAAGTCCTGTAACTGACGACCAGGTGCCCACGACTTACGCTGGGCGACATGCGGTCTCTTTTGTGCAGTGAAACCCGGACCGAGGATTGGTCCGAGGCCCGGCGGCTTCGACCACGTGGGCGATGCAGCACCCTCACCCGGGGGCCCACGGAGCAGGCCTGGTGGACGGATACGCCGGCGCCTTGCCCATGGACCTCCACGTGCCGCCGCAGGGATACCACCCCTACTTCCGGTACGTCGCTTCCGCCATCCTTCCATGCAGGCTCCCCGCCTCTTGCAAAGCGCGCAGCGCCATCGGCGGCGTATCCGGCTGTTGCAGACGACAAAGGCAACCTCACGATTGGTTCACACGTTTGCGTTTGACTGTGCCGAGTGTACTGTGATTACTTGTAACCACTAACAGACCGCCGTCTTTATCGGGTACACCTGAAGCACTTCTTACGTGCGTAAATAGCTGTTTCTTGTTTTTTAGGCACTGAAAATGTTATAGGCAACTATCTCTCATAAATAGTCCGTCGATTTGATCTGTAAAATACTGCAAAACATTCAGTCCATTTATACGCAAGTCTGAAGTGTTCCAGGTCTACCCGATAGATGACACCAGTGTGCCGGCGGAGATCACAACACATTCGTCACACTAGGCATAGTAAAACAGAATTGTCTGAATTCGCCTTTAGAGCGACGTAGGATACGTAGGCGAGCAGTAGAAAGCAAGTGTACACCTCGCTACCATGTCGCTTTAGCGCTATACGTACGGAGGAGCATACAGGGTGCTCCTAACATTGGGGTCTTCATGCGCGGATGTTTAGGATCATTATAAGAGGTTGAAGGGTTTCCTCTTTAGGTTTACTACGGCTTTAGAGCGTAAACATCTTAGACAGAAAGCTGTCTGGTTGGCTGCAACGACAGTAATAAGAGAAAAAAACGTCTACCAAAGCCCTAAAAAAAGATAAGTATTTTATTGCTTCTCGCATAAATCCTTCATTGAGGCTGTTCACGTAGCTCTTGAAATTTCGACGTCGGCCGAGCGGACAGGAACAAGAGCAAACACGTGTACTCAACCCTTTTCAGAGTCGACATTTCCCAAAGAAACACAGAGCACAGTAAGAAAAACATTGATGACGCATACACTCACCTTGGTTTGACATGCTTATCCACTTCTTAGCCTCTCGCGTATCTGATACATGGTCGTTATTTCAGTCAGCAGACGAAGGCCTTTTAAAAAGCCCTGTCTCGCGTATTCTCGCTTTTAGTAAGATGACTAGTTGCTGTTTCACTTGATCAAGCTTAACGTGTTGCCATCACAGCTACGTTCCCTCATTTAAACGAATTTGATTAAAGATGATATCATGATGCAATGAAGCCAGACAGCGACGAAACAAATTGCAGCTTAAGCATACTACTAATGATTCAAACAGTAAAAAAAAACTAGAGAGGCTCAACAATACCCTGTTCAGCCTCTCTAGTTTTTAAAGTATATCATAGCTGAACTAAAAAAATGATTTTTAAAGTCATATATAGTTGAACTAAAAAAAAAACATTATTCGACTTGTCGATACTTAGAATTTCGAACGAGTTCCCGTTTTGTACCAATACAAAATGTAACGATGGCGTTCTTTTGCTTCGGCTAGAAAAAAAAAAACACCTTGTGGGAAAGTGAGGCTGTTTCGTGCAACACCGGTCTTGGTTTTTGAATGATTGAAACGGTGCCCTTTTCGTCTTGTCCTCTTTATGTGTGGCTCTGCGCCACTTTCCATTCTAACCAGCTGCTTCACATTGCTGTAACCAATTGCGGTATTATGAAGTATGGAACCGGTATGCGGTCACCGACTAACGAAGCCCGAGTACGAACCGATCGGAAAGTGATTGACGCTCGCAAAGTCGACCGGGCCTGGTCCTTAAAGTGCAAGTGGCCCCCTTCTGATATTCGCCAGCGCGCCCCTGCTGTATGGGCAAGGCCCCCCCTGAGATACTTTTAAGGCGTCTCTGAAACTAGAGGTAAAAGTAACCCAGAAGCAAGAGAAAAAAATGGGAACGTACAACACAAGACTCCGAACACACCTAAAGCGTTATTATGCCAAGACATCCTTAGATCAGCCCACAACCAAGTAGAAGTGCACACCGAACGTTAAACAAACCAAAATAACCCACGAAAAAACTAGAAACTACCCAAAAAGGGCCAACACAACCAATGACACAAACTTAGTCACACGTCCCACTAACCAAATATCTTCTGGTAGATCTGTCTTTGCTTGAATTTCTGGCACCATCGTTATTTCCTAATATTACTGCAAGCCATATGACACTCGTAGGAATACAGCAGCCAACTCAAACCAGCGAGCTAAAAAGTTTAATCAACAGAGAAAACCGTAAAACGCATGACCGCTTTTGTGTGTGTTTTGTTTTGTTATTGTGTTCTTCGGTGAAAAATATGTTTAGTGATTATTGCGCTAATAACATGACAGCTTTCTAGTCCTCACTATCGGAGTCAAACAATTAAGTCCTTCCTTCCATCACATAAAAACAAAATAAAAAAAAAATTATCGAAAACTCTTGCGAGTAGCAAAACAGAGCAAACAGAACACTCAGACACGATTAAAATAGCGCGAACTTGACAAGGACAAAAAAGGCACACGTGCGACAGGACTCGCGCGGTTGTACGTGTGCTTTTTGTCCGTGTCAAGTTCGCGCTATTTTATTCATATCTAATACGAACCAATTAGCCCAATCAAGAGACCTGTAAAAATACTCAGCCACACGATTAATAGTATACAAATTTAGCTCGCGCATTTCAATAACCACGACATCGCAAGTGCAGAGTTTTCCAACAGGCTGCGTTTTGCAGCTCGTTAAACAGCCACAATAATCACGCGATTTAGCGAAGTAAGGGAATTTGTATCGGTTTATATTAAAGCAACCATAATTGTCTAAATCTACCGGACAGTTGTTCCCCAGTTGTAATTGTACATATAATCGATTACTCTTTCTCGATAACATTCGCACAAGATCGCTTTATTTCGCTGGCGACACTTTTTACGCGAGCCAGGGCAGAGCCGTCGTGCGACGACAGCGGCTTTCGGTGTAACAACGCGGATTCTCCCCTCTAATCTCGGAGGTCTCGCGAAGGGTATCGAGGGCCTGTCGTGTCGCGTATCTTTGGGAACACGAGTTTCTCTTTTGATGGATTACGGCGCGTGCGACGCGACGCGTCGGACGTCTTACATGCCCAAGACGGCGACGGAATTATGGAAACGGGAAGCGGCCGAGGAGGGGCGGACGTGCTCGAGGAAGAGGCGGCGAGAAGGGGACACTTCTCTATTCGACAGGCGTCGTCGCTTCGATAACGTCGTCGCCGGGACGCCTCTCCGTGGCGGCGTGGACTCTCCCGCGATCACGTCGCCGTTGTCCAGAAGGGGCGTGGCGTGTCGATTCACGGCGGCGCTGGACGAAGAGCGGGTCGTCCTCGCGCTATCCTTGGCACTCGTCGTCGTTTTTGGGCCGCAAGCTCCTGATGGACCGAGCATGGGTTGTAATGCGAAGAGGAGGTGTATGAGAGTGTATCCGCACTTATAAGCGCCTATAAACACGATGTCAAGGTGTTAATGCTAAAAAAAAGTAAAAATAAAAAACAGCACCAAAAACGAAGGACAAGGCGAAGTGCACGCACAAAGCGCTGACTCCCAACTGTTTTATCTTGAAGAAACACAAATCGACGTGAAACGCGAACCGTAAAATATATCCAGTAATCTGTCCCACAGGTGCCGTGTGCCGTCGGTGTAATTTTCAGCGTTAAACTGTCCCGCGAGAAAGTGTACATAGCGCACACCGGCAGATGGGTTAATGAAAGGTTAAGAAAACATGCTCTATTGATCGGATCATTGCCATCGGGCAACTTTGGCAGCACACTGTGACATGTGCGATTGTAACCTTATATTATAAAACGACAATTTTATGGCGTCACATTCAACCGATTACTAGAGACATTTCTTTCAGATTTTCTTTCATTCGAAGCACGAAGACATACTGTGTCAGCAGTGCGGCGTCGGTTGCGTTGCTTAACAGAGTTGACATTCCTGAGTAGGTTTGACACGTTTCGGGATCAAATTACATTATGTATTTTATGGTTCGCGTTTCTCTTTTATCTGGGTTTCTCAAAAATAAATCAGTCAAGAAATAGCGCTTCGTGCGTGCACTTGGTCTTCTAGTTCTTTGTTTTTTGCCGCTGTTTTACCGTTAACCCGTATCCGCAACTCGCTCAACTTTCCTCATTATTGCGGGACACGATGTAAATTGTTGGCGAGGAATTGACTCGTATCCTAAGATTATCTACCTTTGAATTGCCACCACCACTTGCCAGACCAAGTCAAAATGTGCGGGGGCCCAGTGAGAACGATATATGGAAGTGAATGGTGATCTGTTTTCTTTTTTCTTCTTAGTTCACTTCTTACTTGACTTAATGTATTGTTCTTATCTCGCACGTTTTTCCGCGATGTATTATTTGCGTTACCAATGTTTACGTAACGCGTATCCAATTAATCGAATCTCATGAACACGCAGTGGTCGAGTGGATGTGGAAGACTAGACCGAGGGATGAGAAATACTAAAAAATCGCTGATAGTCAGCTTTATGCGTGTCTTGTGTCTATGTGTAACCATTTAATGTTCGATCTGTTTCCCCACCATCAATCCCATGATAACCTCGGGTTCGGGGGATATTGTTTATCGGCAGGGAAGCGGCGTTTCACGTAGGCTACGCAATCATCTGCGCTAAAAAGGAGGTATTCCTAGCGGGTTTGCATACTCTGTTTCACAATTCGACCGCAGCCGACGCTACAGTCTAGTGGAGCCAATGAAGCGGCGAAAAAAATGCATCGTCACGGCGCTCGTCATTCTTTGTGCGCTTGCTACTAACCCTATCATGCGCAGCGAAAGTTCGTCTGCTCTTTGGCAGGGTTTGTAGTGACGTCAGAACGCCGAGCTCTGATTGGCTCTGATTGGAGGATAGTGGGTAGACCTCAAGGCAGCTTGCTTTGAGGTCTACCGACTATCTTTCAATCAAACCAATCAGAGCTCGGTGTCTTTCTGACGTCACAACAACCCCTGCAATAGAAGCAGACGAACTTGCACTCCGTATTCTGCTCGTGATTCGTTGGGCTATGGCGCCTGGAACGCGTCTCCGACTGGTGCCGTTTACGGCGTCTGTAAAAGCGGTCCGTCCATTTACGCCCAATGA